CCCCCCCCCCAGCGAGGCCGTCATCGGCCCACACAGATTGATATGCCAAGGATCGTGCGGCGGCTCCGCGCGCGTCCCCAATTGGTGAGGCACGCCCGCCTTCTTCCCCTTCGCCAGCAGACATCCACCGCAAGGCTGCAGGACTCCGGTCAGTCAGAGACCGTGCTGCTTCGCAAGCTCACGCAATAGAAACTCATTGGCGTGGGAGCACGAAACGTGGAGAAGGTTGACGTCAATAATCTTGGTGGGTTTCCCCACCGAAAAAGGGCGCTTGCCCGGGGCCATGACGGGGACGGCGAAAGCAACATCATCGAAGACATTTGCAAATCCAAACTCAAACATCAAGTCTAAAATTTCGTAGGCGTCTTCTGTTACCTCTCTTTGTTCCAATAGGTACACAGTTCACTCGTAATCTCCCTGCTCTGTGTACGGAATGCATCCACGGTCATCATCATCATTACTCTCCTCAAAAATAGAGATGTCGGGCGAGGGCAGCCCGGGAACAGCTACCAACTCCATACCATGNCTACAGCTACCATCCTTTCCTCTCTCTTCCATGCCTCAAACACCTGTCAGCGGGGAGGGGAAATACATTGCCGGAGGAACGACGCTGCTCGCAGCGGGCGGGAGACCGGACACAATTGATAACATTACGCTGTTTGGAGCGGGCGGGAAACCGGGCACAGTAGAGGGCACTACGCTGTTTACAGCGGGCAGGAAACCGTGCACAGTGGAGGGCACTACGCTGTTTGAAGCGGCCGGAAAACCATACACCGTGGAAGGTACTACGCTGGCAGCAGCGGGCGGACAATTCGACACTGGGGGTTGAACAGCACTCCTGGTAGCGGTATGAGGTACAGACATCACCGGAGGCACTACGCTGCTTTCAGCGGGCGGGACACCTGACACTGCGGAAGGAACGTATGCTACACCCGGAGGGGGGGTAAACACCGGTGGGGTTTCTGGCATCACTCTACCATCACTCGCATGTGAACCTACACCAGTAGCGCGGGGAGGGAGCACCGGGGAAAAAGGCATCACAGGCACAGCGGTGGGCGGTTCATAGTTGGGCGGCAAGCGAGTGGCCCAAAGCGACGAACCCCTCTCCCCACGGGGAAAGGTCAATTGGCCATGGAAAAGATAGATGGTGCTGCCGTCGTAGCCACCGTCGCTCCTGCTGCTCCTGGCTCTACCCCTTCTCCACCGTACTCCTACACGGTGTTGGTCTGCCCGTACGAGTTGGCCCACGGCGGGCGCTGGCTGTAGCCACCGGCCGGCGGCCGGGGCGGTGGGGGCCATGGCGGCGCGTTAACGGCCGGCATGCCAGCTGGCCTTCCGACATCAACACGCGGAGGACAGAACAGATGGTTGTGGCCGAGTTCACCGCAGTTCTCACACCGCTTGCGAGGGTCATTCGGGTGGATGGGAGGTTCATTTCCCTGCGGGCGGTACATGTGGGGGGGGTAGGCGCTGTAGTCGTAGCCCCGCTGAGGTACAGGGTAGGCGGGGAGGTTGCTGCCCGGCGGTCCCTGGTGAAAAGGACCCCTGCCCCTCCCACCGGAAGCGGCGCCACGCCCCCCGAATCTTCCTCCTGCCGGCTGCTGCTGATGACGTCCTTCTCCAGAAAAACCCCGGCCCCCATGCTGGGGCCCGTGCCTTCCGCCGTAGCTCGAACCTTGGCCGCCCGAGGGACCTCCCCAACCCCGCTGCAAGCAACATTCCTCGTTGCTGTGGGACAAGGAGTTGTGGAGGCCACAATATTTTATCTCAGGCGGGTACGGCGGCGGGTATACCTGTTGCTGCTGCTTGAAGTACGGCTGATGCTGCTGCTGTGGCTGCTGCGGTTGTTGCTGCTGTTGCCGCGCTGCCGTCCTCCGTTGTCCTCTCATCTTCCCCCTATCCCCCATGTTCCCGCCCCCGCCACCGCGGTTGTCACCGCCAGTGACGAGGGCATACGCCCCCACGCTCTCCGACGCCCTCTTCCTAGCGGCCTCCGTCTCCGCCCAGGCAGTCAGAATCACCTTCTCTACCAATTCCGTCTTGACCTCCGAATGCGCCAACAACACGCTCCTCTGCACATTGAAATCGGGCAGAAGGTTGCGTACATAGCGGGCGTTAGCATCATGATCGGATTGCACCCAACCGTACGCTTCTAGTTTCTGGCGAAGTACTGATGTTCTTGTGAGATAGCGCCGGGGCTCCTCCCCTACTTGCTGCTTCAACGAGTACCACTGCCCCTGCAACTCCAACTTGTCCGTTTCTGCGTGCACTCGGTAAAAGTTGAGAAATTGATCCCACGATTCAGTGGGGCAACCACTAGCTAGGATTGCAGGGACTATTGTCGGTACTTGTATCTTGGATATAATCAGCTGCCAAGCCTTAACCGCCCTATCTCCAGCAACCGTCCCATGCTCCACCTTCAAAGCCGAGATATCCGCATCCGTCTTTCCAACACGAATTGTGTTTTTCGATTCTATTGCCCCAAGGCAACATTCCTGCTCCAACAAAGATCGGAATTGACTGGTAAAGACCATTACCGCCGTCTGTACATCGTCCTCGGGGCTAAACTTCCCGGTGAATGCAGGGATAGTGATACCTGCGCTGATACGTATTGCTTCTTTAGGGGTTGGGACTTCCCTGTATTCATCCTCCGGTTCAATCTTGACCCTCTGCAAGGCCCGCGCGAGGGTGTCGATGAGGCTGACGTCCGCCGGCGATCGGGGCTGGTCTTCGGGTCGCGGGCTTGACTCCGAGCCAGCCGGCCTGTCCAGCCGGGTGTCGCCTCCTTCGGAAGGCATGCTCTCGCTCTGTGCTGCGGGGCGCTCTGCTGCTACTGCTTCGGCACCTGCGGCGTATGGGAAGGATTGTTCTACAACACTCATGAACACCATGGACGTAGGACGTCAACTTTTGAACCTAGGCGAGCAAAAATGTTTTTGTCGGGCAGGATCCCGCGTCCCATCAAGGGGCACCGCTGATCCAGTGCAAAAGAGCGCCACAAGAAGTGAAAGAAACAAGGCGGACGGGTGTCTCTGATAGTACAGAAGTCCGCGGATCGTGAGAGTATTCTTCGGTGCCCCGATAACCAAAAGAGTTGCTGAAAACAGAAGTGCAGGCCAAATTCGATATACCCGGAGAAGAGGCCACAATAACTTTTCCAGCTAGTGTGGTGCGCCCAGACAGAGAGCGTGCAACAGTCATCGAGGATGTTATCACCACGCACTCCGCCATGGTCCGCCGTAGATCTCGTTTCGGGCAGATGCATTTTTCCACTCTGGAGTGACTCGCCGATGTTACAAGGATGTGCATACCTCGTCAGATTCATGTCGACCGATCAAGACCGAAAGCTCGAGCGCCTGCGCTACGAACCTCGCCGGAAGTGCTTTCGCTTATGCTTGAGTCGGCTACGAAGGTGGTAGTCGACGTCACGACGCCGTTCGCAACGTCTAACCGCAGATGAATGACCACAGATGTGGCACAACCGAGGACATAGACCTGTCGCGGCCAGGGGGGTTCCGTTCGACATTGGCGGTAGGCACGTCCATGATTTCGCTTTTTCTGCCAACTCGGCAGTAAACTCGTAAATGAAGTACGGATTGCACTTCGTCGAACAGTCCCCAAAGAAGCAAGAGAAGCGGAACGGGCATCTCTCCGCACCTCTAGCTTGTCACCTGCGCATGTTTCATGGCCAGAGCCCAATAAAACCGGATGTAGGATCCGACGCGCCCACGACAAGTTCATTACACAGCCCACGGTACTCTGTTGACCCGTGATACAGGTCGAGGTAGTCTGCCGTCTGGGCTGTTGCCGAAGGCGTTCTAGGCATTCACAGTCTCGACCTATGTACTTGGAGCTCGCCGAGAGTCCAACCGGTGACACCACGATGCCGCAAAGCTCCCCGTCAGGTACCGGCGAAGACCAAGTTGGCTCCTCCGTGCCATCGCTATTGACCGCCAATACAACTTCATCGGTTGTGGAAGAGTAGATGGTCGGACCGTGTGGGCTTGAAGCAACCGCTTGGACGTCGTGATATGATGAGTTCTTCCCTAAAGTGGGAAAAGTTGAGGTTGTCCTTCCCCCCCGAGACGTAAACAGAGCCAGTTTGTTTCATTTGAAGAAGCCAAGAAGATGAAGCGTGAGCACGACCCGTAAATTTCCTGTGAAACGCTCACGGGCGCTGGTGGATGGATGGCGAGTTCAGTGCGACAAAAGCCATGATTTCCGCGACGGTTGGCTCAAGCATTCCATGTGAACTACACACGGCAGGATTTCGTCGAGGTTCAAACCTCAGCACCAATGACCAACAAAACTGAAGACGTCGTGCGCGGAATACAAAGAAAGTAGGGTGAAGACTGCACGGGCGCGCATGATACATCCCGGCATTTGCTGGTAGGGATCTTACCCACTGTTGCCGGCGGCATCAACAGTGAGCCGTCGCACGCCACTACTTTCCCCTGGAAGGGCTGCTCAAGTCATCGAGGCCAGCAAGTGACACAACGAAATGAAAACGGGAATCCATAGTGAGCCCCAGCGATGATAAAACGAGGTAATGCTTACAGGAACACCAATATGATCATCAAGTAACGATATATCCATCTGTAGTAGAGTGAGAGCGGTGCGTGCAAGTGACGGAGGCACATGATCAATGAAAGAGCTCATTATCTGTTATAACCAAACATTTCCGAGTACTCCGCTCCTCGTAGAAAAAGCGTCCGAACGAGTGCAGGTCGACTATGATAACTGGCCAAAGTCTCAGCGTGAATTAAAGTGCTACAGCTCCCCTTAGGTCAAAAGGGTTGCTTCACTTGCGGGATTGATCTCCGAGTGAGAGCTCATGTATTTGTAACAACGCCATCTGAACGGCACATTAAGTGGCTACACCGCGACCTCACGGATGGCCGTACACAATTAATCTCTCGCTTCCGTCTTACCGATGATCGAAACCTCTTCAATTACGCTGATTGACAACGCGTCCATGCCGCCGCAAATTTGCGACGCATCCCCATCGCACGGCTCATTACAAGCTGTACATTCACCGAATACATCGTAGTCGTCATCTCCGCACCAACACTTGTTTAGTGGTAGGCCGTGGTGGGCCGGCACCGAGTAGTCACGGACATGCGAAGAATTGCACGCGTCGTGGAAGGAAGGGGTGGCAAATCTCAAATTCCTGAAGGTCTGCATGAATGCGGAAGCTTGGCTTCGAAGGAGCAGGGCGATGCGCATGCTCAATAGGTCGACACTTGCCCGCCTACTACACTTGCGTTATGCGAGGTACTGGTGTTCGACAACGAACGGCACAATGGCAGCAGGGTATGTTGAGATCGGCTCGTGGACAGACCCGAGATGGACAGAACGGCACTTGCATGTCTTCCTCTCCAAACGAGCTCGAACCAAGGTCATTAACATCACCCGCGTAACAAGGTGATGCGACCTCGTTGCTACAATGAATGCCCCATCTGAAATGGGCCTTTGTGCCGATTGGTGCCGAACGTGCCTGGAAACGTATGATGTGCACCTAACATAAATCAACTCCGGGGACACGCGTGCGGCATAATCTTGTTGGTCTAGTTTCCAGGCTACTCAAAGGTGCCAAAGGAGAAAGTAGAGCAGCAACGTTATCCCCTTAAAGAGTGTTTCTGTCACCAGTCTGCATGCCAGGTGTTCGGCCTCGTAAGATGTCGTTCGTATCGCGAGCAATCGTGGCTCTTCCTGTCGCATGCACAAGCCAGCATTTCCCCAGGAGCGTCTTTGACTACTCTCCACAAGATGCAATGCAGTGGCACTTAACCCCACGACGTTCGACTTGCAACCATGAAGTTTCAAGCCTTTGCCATAAGCAGCGCTATGTGTAACATGCATTGCCAACGATTACAGTCTTTCGGGCGTTGCTCTGTGATAGGCATGCAAGGGGCCCGCGAACTCAGCCACTCGTCGGCAGGTTCGGCGCACCCATCGAAACTGTGCATAGGTGCGTTGCTGGCTAGTGCGTTGCAGATCTACGTGTTCAATTCTTGTCCCTAAGACCCACCGAACACCAGGAGATCGAGATGATACGGATAAGGTCTACTTTCTGAGGCAAACGTTTCTCACGCAGCAAAAGGAAAAACGTGTTGCCAAAACGTTGCTACTTGTTCCATGGCTCACCTCGTACGAAAATTGAGTACCGAAGAACTTGAAAGCGCTGCAATGCTCTTGGCAGAGTCTCGTCGGCGTGGCAGGTGACAACAAGTTTGTTCGAGGGGACAGGGGAGATTCGACGACGTGTAAATGGGCTACAGTAACGTCCGAAGGAGAAAAAAGCTTTCGATATTCGAAGCTTCGTCATTTGCGTCTGTCACCGTGATCTACCTTAGCAGTCACCCAGTCCTATGTAGACAATATTGCATGCACTAGCCTAGACACGTTTCGGAGCAGCTAACGTCCCTGTCAAGCCATGTTCCACTCACCTCTGTGGTCATGGTGCCGGCTAAGGAAATCTTGGTGGCGATGCTAAAGACGCAATTTCCGTTTTCATTGTCCGCGAAGCAGCCAAGGTAGGTTGCTGTGGTCAACGGAGAGAACGAAACAGATGGAAAGTTGTGGTCAAGTGGCGCAGCATGCGGGGGAATCTGAACAGTGATGAGGTTCATGACCGGACGTCCCCCACCCTCACTCGTGACTTGCATGCGTGTATTGGCATCGCATCTCCTTGCGCGATGTTCCAGGCGTGGCTCGCCGAGGAAACAATCGATCGTGATATCTTCTAGATCTCTCGCAACGTCGATTGTCAATGGTGACACCAGGTGCACGCGCACGTCGCTCGATAAGCTTAGTTTTGTGATGGGGATAGACAAGGGTGTTTAGTTTTGTGACGGGGATAGACAAGGGTGTTTGCGTTGTTTTCTGCGTGATATTGTTCGGCGTGCAACGCCTTTGCCGTCATGCCTCTACACCGAGCAACTGGGCATGTGCTACACGGCAGTCTCAGAATCCCACCTACGACTTGGATGACGCCAAATGCAAATTCCAGCACCAGAACGTCCTGATCGTTGTCTGGTGCTGACTGAACCTTCCAGTTCCGATTGGGTGATGCTGGTAGAACCAAGCAGAACCAACGAATCGGTGGACGGGACGACTTCAGAGTACTCATAGGTGACAACCGTATCCTCTCCATTGACATTCGTGAATGCCTGGTAAGGGTTTAGTCAGTGGGACGTCGAACGATCAAGGTGGTCGGCCGTGCGGGGTATGCTGGGTCGGAGCCAAAGCACAACAAGCTGGTGTGGGGCGTTTTCTCCACGCATCGCCGCCTCTTCACCAGATTTCGAGGCAACAACACCTTGCGCTTCTTCCAGCGCAAGCCATGTCGGTGTAAGTACTTGCACAGGACCTACGGTGATGCCCAAACACGATCGTGGCCATCACAATTGTCCGTTTGTGGATTGCATCGCGTGTTCGCGTTCAGTAACATATTGTGATATGTGGAACCAGGCAACCACCAATATTGTATCTATTCAAAGTGCTCCTGCAGAGGGGTACGACAACGTTTATCGAGTTGCACCTTTAGCGATGCACACACATTGTTTGGATTCAAAGCGCAGCAAAATCCCAAAAGGCAACTAACGTGGATATCTGAGGATCCGGGCCGAAGCATCAGCCCCCTCAATTCGTCAACCCCCCCCCCCGAGTCCTCCCCTGGTGTTTGCCATCGGGGTTGGGTTCTCGTCGCTTGGCAACGACGTTGTAAAACAAGCCGCCCCCCCCGGTGTTTGCCATCGGGGTTGGGTTTTCGTCGCTTGGCAACGACGTTGTAAAACAAGCCGCCCCCCCCCGGTGTTTGCCATCGGGGTTGGGTTTTCGTCGCTTGGCAACGACGTCGTATCACAAGCCAATTCACTTCGTGAGCTCGGCAACCAGGTCACCGTTGTTGTTTTGTTCCTCTGTTCTGCTTTGGCGGTGACCATAACGGTGGTCGAGTGGATCATGTTGTGCGGGGTGGAGAAGCCTCACTCCGTGCAAGGGGGAAGACCGCACCACGTTCTGTCAAATGGTCAAGCACCCTCGACGCAGTTACACAGTGCCTTTAACTGTCTCTGGAAGTGAAAGCACCAGAAAATAAATTAAGTCATACGCAGCTGTCATCCGTACGCAAGGAAGTAAGCACAAGATGCCGAACACCCTTAGCAGGATGCAGCGCACCCTTCATGCGACTCGCCGAATATCTCACGGCGCTTCGCGCTTGGTGATGTGAGAGCCTGGTCCGGTGGGAACCCGGCGTGCTCCGTCCCGGCTTTGTAGGGACGCGAGGTCAATGGTCTAACGACTACGTCATGCACGACTATGAGTACACCCCTCCCCCCCCGAGTCCAGATCTATGAAGGAGTATCGCCCAGCGCTTGAGGGGTTCCAGTAAACGGTGTTGCTCCAGGCCAGAGGTTGCGATGAACCAGATCCATTGTTATCACCTGAGGGTCGCGTTGGAGTCGACCGAGCGTCGATAAGTTCACAGTTAGCCCTACGCCGATCGGATTTGCAGTGAGAAGTACGGGACATGACCGGTAGTGTGGGGATTGATATCAGTTCAGTGCAGATTAATCTATTTGCATCGTTCGTACAAACGACCGAATTGTTGGTATGCCAACTTCACTCGAGAACGTATCGGTTGCCTTCAGTCATCGTGTACGCGAGATGTAACTGTTTTTCAGTCGGCGGGTGGACATGCGACCAACATCGATCAGCCTTGGAACACAGAAACCCACTTGCAGCTATTCACGGAGAAGTAGTTGTGAAGAGATTATCGCGAGGGGGCTATATTCTACCGTCCTGATGCCTCGGAGCCATGACGAGACTTCAAACCCGAGAATCCGACCAAAGCGACGCGTCGAAGACAACGTAAGCTAACCAAGAGATTGTGTTCCCTCCACCAGCACATGTTTCACATTCCCGACTAGCTGGCATGGCTGGGGAAGCGCCAGGAGCGAAAAGGTCGCTAAGGACAGTCGGTCCTGTTGCAATGTAATCGAGAGCTTCCATCACTTCCACGAGCTAGAAAAGATGGTGAATCGTCGCTAAATCGTGCATCTATCACGTACAATGTATCACATACCTGCATGTGATAGCAACCAGCTCCCGCCGCCGCACACGATTCAACCGACCAGGTAACGAGCTGACTGCATGAGGCTCTGTTGCAAGGTGTAGACTAATGGAGGCCTGGTCGATCGTAGGAATGCCAAGGCGCCTTGGGCACCGTGCAAGCAGGATCGGAGCGCAGCAGATACAACGCATTTCCCGGTGTCGTGGCCGGTACCGATGAGCACGAATTTTCGAGAGATTCCTCAAGGCGTGCGTCTTAAACATGAAAAATAACGAGAGCTAGACTACATGTACATTTCCTGACCACTTCAACACTGCTGCAGGCCAATATCTGGCGGCCCGCGCGAAACGATACGTACGGCGCAACTACAGCAGTATTTTTGTTTTTTGCTCCCATTATTGGACTATGTCGTCTGCCCCTCTGGCCCCCACCTCCACTTCTACTAGCTAGATTACCCAATCGGGGTCACATAGGAGGGAGGGGTTGGACCCCCTCCTGCGGTTCGAGATATTTTTATCGCGAGAAGGGTACAGTCAGTAATCCCTTCCCTCGCGACTTAAAATGTGCGCTGCTGTCGTGCTGTCGTGATCAGCGAATCAGAGTACAAGCAATTCCGCAGCATTTCCGAGCTCCTTCGCATCTTTTCATATCCCTCGTGCAGGTGCACTTCTGTTAGCTACTGTACCATTGGGCGCCGAAATGTGCCGGCGACCACGAGCAGGCTGACGACACAATCTTCGTCCATCTTTCCTGCTGGTAGGAAGCCTGCCTCGGTCATGCAAGCTCTCGATACCATTTTTTGCGCACGCACAATCCACGGCTACTTGTGTGAAGATGGCATAGTCGTCTATGTATTATGCCGGAGCGCCCCTATATATGTCATCTTCCATAGATCCATGGCATGGCAAGCTGGTCGCCGTGACGAGGACGCCTTTCGCGGCGACGGAAGCTGACACCTACCACATGCAGGTACGTGCAAGGGGGTTTATGTGGTGGTGTCCGCCTGCATTCCTTGCCTGATAAGCTTCATAACTCGCTACTAATATTATCCACGTCGTCCGGCATCCACACTCGCAGAATAGACTCATGAGATGCAAACTGTAGAACATCGCAAGGCCTGCGGCTTCTCTCAATTCTCTCCTGCTTACTCTCTCAACCTCTCATCTCTGACTGGTACGCGCCGCCCATTTTCTCTCTCTCTCTCTCCCCCTCTCCCCTTACCGGCTGAGGCATGCAACAAAACGCATATGGGGTGCTGCTGCCGTGACGCATACTAGATCGGGAGGTGGAATAGTTTTTTGTTGAAAAACGTACCTGCAGTAGGCTCGTGCGTTGCTACCATTGGCCCGTTTAGTACACAGCAGTATTACAATATTTTGATTGTGGTGTGGGGGGCGCCAATCAATGTGATGGACTCCGAAAAAAACAATGTCTTGGAAAAAAAAGACACCTCCACACGGACTCGAACCCATGATTTCGAGAGTCAGGGTGGTCTTCACCGAGTTCACGAAGTGAATTGGCTTTTTTAGGCCAATTGTTATGGAACAGGAATTCGGGGAAATTTGGTGGGACCCCTTGACATTATTTTCCGCGAACCCCCGGGAATTCCAGGAATGGGGTAAAAAACCTAAATTATGGGGACGTTGGAATCCCGAAAAATTCCAATTCGAGGAATTCCAGCCAAGTCGAGTTGGAATCCGGGCCGGATTCCAACTCGGGCGACCACAAATTCCTAGCAGGAATCCCGGGGGGTTCGTGAAAAAGTGGGCGTATGGCCGCCGCGTTTTGAATCGAGAGCCTTGGGTGATCGCACCGCACGCGCAGACGTGCTGCTGGCTATGGTGCGCCTCGTAGAGTTGAGGGCGGTGTTGACCGTGCTCTCGTTGGCGCTTGCCGCGCTGCATCATCAACAGCAGCTTCTGGTCGCGTTGCTGCGACAATTGCACCGGGAGGAAGATGAAGAGGACGACGAAGAACCGCGACCCAAGCGCCGCCGCACGGTTCGGCCGAGAGCGGACTACCGCACCTTGCCTTGGGCAAGGATGCTTGAGAAGGCCGACCTATTGCAGGACCCTTCGACGAGAGAGGCAAAGCAGTTTCGGCGAAGGTTCCGCGTACCCTACCCTTTCTTCCTCTCCCTTGTAGACGAAGTGAAGGCGGGGAACTGGCCTGGATTCACGACAGACGAGTTCGAGCTTGGCGGGAGAGGCACCAGGCGCTGCATCCCCGTGGAAACAAAGGTGAGCAAACACGCGCTGCACCCTAAAGGTGGGCGTGGGGGTTTGCAGCATGTATGTTGTGTTGCTCTCCAAGACCAGATGTCGATCAACAAACGAGCACGTACATTCCCCCCGTACATCCGTATCTCGGCACACAGAGAGGAGAGAGCGCAGTCCTCTCCGAGGGTTTGCCGGCGGTGAAGGTTAGCTCTCATCACACACACTCGTCCACACTTACCATCACCAGGAATTCCACGCAGTCCTCTAGGGGCGTGTAAGGTGCTCCTATGATATAGAGCTTGCCAGCCTTATCTTACAAAACAACGAGAGTCGTCCACGGAAGGATCGGCGTACCTCAACAGCAAGCTGCGCTCCCGACAAACCAAGCTGGAGTCCATCCCTATATCAGAGTTGCTCCTAAACTGGACGAAAATTTATCGTCGCCACTTGCACTGAAGCACACACCGCCGTACCGTTGACGTATTTATGTTGACTCTGGCTATCACACAAGATGAAGTCCACAAACGAATCGTGTCCCTGGCCGCCGTTGTCTGATGATTTTTTCGAACAGGTTTTGGCGGTGCTGCGCATACTGGGCAGAGGAAACTATTTCGACGATGTCTCGGAGGTCACCGGCATGGGCGAGGCCACGGTGAACCACATGTTCCACAAGTTCACGGAGAGATTCGCGCGTGAGTTTTTTCCGGTATGGGTGAGGATGCCGAATGAAGACGAGCTGAAGGACATCATGAAAACCTATGACGAGGTTGGAATGTCGGGCGCCATGGGGTCGATGGATGGGACGCACATTGAGTGGACGTTGTGTCCTTATTCCCAACGCACGTCGCACATTGGCAAGGAAGGCTACGCTACCCTCGTGTACAATGTTGCCGTCAGCCACGACATGCGTGTTTTGTCGTGTACGCGGGGCTTCCCCGGCGCCCAGAACGACAAGACCATCATCAAATTCGACAAGTTCGCGATGGCGGTTCGAAACGGCTGGTACAAGGACGTAGAGTACACTCTGAAGGGCGAGGACGGAGCGGACATCAAAGAGAAAGGGCCATGGTTGATAGTGGACGGCGGATATCACAACGTGAGCGGGCTCGTGTTCCACCGAATTTGTAGTGCAGAATGTCTTTCTTTGCACTCGGCGCGCGCGCAAGGTTTGGTGTTCCGTTAGCTAGCATTAAGTAGCGTTTAGGAACAGGAGACGAAACAACAGAGAGTCGCTACTGCTGTGCCTTGAAAACTACAGATCTTGGCCCATGTCGCTTCCCCAACGTGCTGTGGTACCGGACAGGGGTTGCATTTGTTCAATTTCGGATGTGTTTTCATGTATATCACTGCACGCGTTCGCTACGGCAGTTTTGCGTTATATACCGTAGTTTGGTCGCTGCTCCCTCTGGCAGGTGCTTTTTTTTTCGGGGGATTGACAGACAGACGCTGTATATGCAAAGGTGCCTCCAAAAAAAAAGAGACGCCCAGAGGGGTCCGCGCGGTCCCCGCAAGATGTCAGTGTTAAAACGGTTCGGCAGTGTGAATTGACAACCGACAATTTGGATGCCAGCCAATGCTTCCACCGAAGCGTGTCTTCGTACGTGCTTGTCTGCCTGCTTGTAAGCGAGTTCGTGTACCTGTTGGCTTTCCCCCCGTGACGATGGTGGGGGAGACTGAACCCCCCCTTGTGTAAATTTCGGAATCTCACGGTCGTCGTCAGGGCGGAATGTGATGGTGGTTGATGTGCTGTTCTGCGGTAATAAACAGCGGTCCCCATGTGCGTCTTCAAGGCTTGACTCAATTGTCGTACCCTTAACATGATCCCCACGGCCCGCCCACCCGCCATGGCTCCCTCCTTGCTCAGTGGAAGCAGCTCCAGAGTCCGATCAGGGCGCCATCAAACAAGGCCGAGTCAGGGTTCAAGAGACAGCTCGAGAGCGTCCGCAAGGACTCGGAGTGCTGCTTCGGCGTCGTCAAGGGGCGGTTCAGGATCTGCAAGATGCAGTTCCTCTACAGGAAGAAAGAGAGGATCGACAACATCTTCTTCACGTGCATCATACTGCACAACATGCTTCTCGCCTACGACGGGATCGAGCTCTTGGAGCCGGACTGCGACTGGGCCGGAGCGGACGGCGACCTCGACAAAAACATCGAGCACCCTGTAGTGCGGATGAGTGCGCCCACGCACGAGGATGCAGTCGTGGAGTGTGATGACGGCTTCGACGCATTGAGGCAGAAGTTGGTGACCAACTTCGCTTACCGATGGGGACAGGGGACCGTTGGGTGGAAGAGGTCGTGATGACCCGTGGGAAGTCACATGGTGCTATGTTGATGGCGGGGAGGTAGGGGGGCGGGGGGGCGTGTGGGAGGCGTTGTCCGCCCCTTCGGCTGTAATTAGTGGCACTTTTTTTTCCCCCCGTTAAAGACCACGTCCTTCTCCGCCCCTCCGTCGTCAGCATCGTCATCTTTCGTTTTTGGTCCTTGTTGCCAAGTCTTGCCTTTGCCTTTGCCTGGGCCTTGTTGATACTTTGCCGTGTTGTTGTTGTCTCCTCGTCGTATGTGATCTCTTTTTTTATTTCGTATCTGGCCTGTTTTCGATTCCCCTTTCCGCGGCTTGCGCGTCTTGGCCCTTAGCATACTACAACTGTCTGTATTCTTGCGTATTGTCATCAGATTTGGCATTTGTGTCTCGGTGTACTTTCTTTTCTCTGTCCATCTTTGCACCTTTTTGCTTGATGGGTGTGGAACAGCCTCTAGTTTAGGCGGAGTTTTCTTCCCTCTTCTGGAGCAGGACCGTCTTTTGTGTGCTTGCTCTTCGCCACATTTATTATTGTGCCCCGAGGGGTTAGCCCCATCGGGTTTCAGATTGTTTTAGTATCATGACGCGTGCGTATAATAGTTTTGTTTATTTTCTTTGCGGTTGCGACTGTATCCAAGTGTGACAACAGGCTCCGTGGAGTTTCCTTTGCCTTTTGCGTTGCCTTGTTGGGACCTTGCGTTTGCCGTATTGTTGTTGTCTCCCTGTAATCGTATCTCGATATGTTTTTTTTTTCTTTCGTGTCTAGCCTGTTTTCGCTTCCCTCGTCCGCGGCTTGCGCGTCTTCGCCCTTCGCATGCAACTGTCGGCGTGTCTTGCGCATTGGCATAGGTGTCTCGATGGATTTATTTTTCTCGGTCCATCCTTGCACCTTCTTTCAACTAACCCTATTTTTTATTCTGACGGGTGCGGGAAGCCTCTAGGCTATGTAGCCGGAGTTTCCTTCGCTCTGCTGGCGGAGGACTGTTTTATATTGCTTGTTTTTCGCAGCATTATTTTTGTGTCCCGATTAGACTCAGCACGGTTCGGTTTGTGTTAGCATCGCATGACGCGTGCGCACAACAATTTTGTTTATTTTTTTTGCGGGGTCGAGTGTACCCAAATGTGTGGCCACAGGCTCCAACGGATGTTTTGGAAAAGAGAGCTACAGCAGTACATGCCACGACACCGAAAAACGAAACGTGCACCTGCATATTTTGTGGTTTAGTGGTCCGGCAAAAAAAAACTTGTCATGCACGTCATGTTGTGCGCAGAGTGGCGAAACACCGGTACTGCTGTGTTGGCCCGTACCTACAACGGTTTTCGTACGCGAAACAAGAGACGGTTGCACCGCCATGAGGGTGCCCCCAGTGACAATCGTATCGCAGGGCCAGGTGCCATCTCTCGTTTGTTTGCATTTTCATCCCATGGAGGCCGGCCGCTGAGAAAAATGAGCATGGGCAAAGTCACGCGCAAGAAGTTGTGATTAAGAGTGAAAGATCGGCAGCCTCGCGAAAGAGAGTGTGACAGCAGTGTACACCCATACATGACAAACGAAGCCTCCAACACTCAATTGACCCGCAAGGATCTAACGATTGTTAATTGTGCCCGATAACACATCTGGCAGCCCCCCATCCGAGATTTGAGAAGTTCGCTAGTCAACATTTCACGCGAATAAATCCACCTTTTCCTGTGAAGAACACAGCGTCGAAGATATAGCTTGTTCTACGCGAAACAGTTACTTACGCGGTCCCCAAAAACAACCATGTCAACCAATGCCGAGTATATTTTCCTTGGTATAAAAACCCTCTCACGAAATGCGGCCATACCGAGGTCCCCGTACCATGACTCTATGGCGTCTCGTCACGCGCAACACCAAGCCAAAAACGGGAATCATCACGCGGATATCTGCTGAACCCCCAAATGAAAATCATCACGCGGATATAATCGATATGGCGATATCAATTCCGCTACATAAATTCCTCCACCCGCCTTTCCCTGTGACTAATCTCAGGAAACATCGACATGGAACGTGGACAAAATGCTTCGTTCGCCAGACCATATCAATGACACCAGTGGGAAAGACTCCATACCTCGCGACCCCCCCGCCCGTACGACGTGCTCGGGAGTTTCATAGGGATGCTCGAGTATTGATATTCCACAGGCTAAATATCCAAGCCGAACAAAAAGAAAAACCGAAGATACCGCTCCTAGTTGATATTATGCGAAATCGTCGGGACAGCAGTGCCCCAGAGTTAGGAAAGAAGGGGATCCCTCTCCCCCTGAGAAAATTTAGGCAGCAAGTGCTTATTGACCCATCCCCCTAAAACTAAAGAAACACGCCCGACAGGTCGGTAGAAGACGAACAATTCGGGTAATAGACGAAACATTCCCGCACAATCTCACTCCACGCGGGAGACGAAAATTGGACCACGAGCAAATCTGTGCACTGGGAGTCATCCCCGTTTGACCGCAAACAAAGAAAAAACTCTTGAGCTGTCTTCCTTCTCCTCGACCTCCTAACTCATGGTCATGGATGAACACCCCGCTCAGCATGCGTGTAAATCGAAGCCGCTGTTTACGGGAAACTAACAAACAAGAAAAAGGGCAACAGGGGAAGGCTAACACAAAGAGTGCGGCGAGCAACGCACCCAACACGACACCGAAATCACCGGGGCAACAGCCGGTTTAGCCCCCCGAAAAGCAACCCCGGAAAAAAAAATGCACACGATTCGCACACAAATGGTCGGTGTTGGTGTTGACACGGTCAACGTAGTCTCACGTGGCTGACCTTTCGTTCATGTGAGCTTGGATGAATGCCGCAGCTGCACCCGCCACCTGGCCACTGTTGGGGAATTGGTGGGTCAAGGCTTGCATAGCAATGTTCCTAGCATTTACTGCGTGGGCACCCGGGTCGTCAGCAACACCCCCAGCGGCCGACGCTCCATGAAGCCCCCCCATGCCGCCGGCGCCGGCGCCCAGGGAAGCCACTCCTCCACCACCGTTCGCGGCGGCACGAGCGGTACCCTCGGCAGCAGGTGCAGCCCCACCGGAACCGCCACCCACCCTGACGCCGTGCGCAGGCTCGCAGTGGTCGCACATTTCCTCGATCTTGCCCATGCCGCACTCCCAATAGTTGCCGCCGTGGGGTGTGCGGTATTTCGGGAGGGCGGAGGTACGTGAGGCAAGGTAAGTGGGGCTTTTCCAATTGCGATACACCCGAAAACCCAATACGAACTAACCAAAAACTGATAGGCCGGGATCTGTGATGAAGGAGCAACACATCGCATCATGAAGGAGCAACACATCGCATCATGAGCATAATGAGCACCACACACAAACGCCATACATTATTGTACTCACTTCACACTGCAATATGTTACACGGGATGCCGTGTTTCTTGCATTGCGGTGGTTTCGGCCCGCCTCCAGCGCCCGCGCCCTCGCCACCAGCCCCAAAGCCACTGCCGGCGCTGCCCACGGAAGACCCGCCGCGTGTGTCCTTCGCGGCGGCAGCAGTGGCACCCGCTGAAGCTTCCGAAGCCCCCCCGAACTCGCCATCCACCGACACGCCGTCAGCAGCCTCGAAGTAGTCGCACATTTCGAAGACGTCGTCCAAGCCGCACACCCAAAATGTTGTCCCCTGGAGTGTGCGTTTTTTCGTCAGGACGGGGGAGGGAAGTATACGCGGCGAGGTTAGTTGGGCTCTTCGATTGGAAGTACACCGAACGCCCCCGACGAACAATTCACCAAGAACTCATTAGGCCGAGCCCGGTCATGAACCAACATGAGTGCCACCACCCTACGCGGTACCCCAGTATCACCACACACAACAATCATACGTTATACTTACTTTAACCTTCATGAGTTTGCACGGAACACGGTGTTTGTCGCATTGTGGTTTTTTCGGCCCGCCTCCACCGCCCACTCCCTCGCCGCCCCCCCCAAAGCCCCTGCCGGCGCTGCCGCCGGAAGCGTCTCCGCGAGCACCCCGACCGCCGTCGACGTCCATTCCAAGCTGGTTGCCCCCCGCATCCGCGTCACTACCCGAACTGTTCACCTCCCAAACGTCGGCGGCGGGTCTGCTAGGCGAAGTCCGGAGTGAGGCGTAGTACTTTGCAGCAGCACCCGTCGTAGCCTTCGATTCCGGACCTCCTGTAGCCCTGGCATGGTTGCGGGCGACTTGACCTGCGCCTGCCCGCAAGGAGGCAGCCTCGTCGGAGACCGCGTTGTCACTCCGGTTGCCGTTCGTGCATCCGGTAAAATCCACGTCAACGGTGTCGCTCTTTTCACCGCCACCGGCGCCGCCATCTACGCCTTCCGCCATGCCCACGCCCCCAGAGGTGGTGACTCCCGCAGCACCGGTACCGCTACGACCAAAAACCGGTGCCATCGGCGACTCCAATATAGCCAGCCCTTCCGCAACAGCCGCGTCCGCCTTGTCATTCTGGCCGATTTGCCGATACAGTTTCTCCGTCGTGTCCAGCTCCAGAAGCCTATCCTTCCTCTGGTCTGCCTTCGCCGCCTGTTCCAGGGTACCAGAAATCAGTGCTACCTGCTGCGTCACCTTCAGCAGAGCAGCGGAGCTCTCTCGGGAAATCTTAAGCTGTTCCGCCATCCCTGCTGCCTCGCCCCGAGCTTTCTTCTTCTCCTCGCGATCCCTCTCCTTCGTGGCCCTCCTACCGAGGACCTCGGTGGCACTCGACAACACCTTCATGGCGTGCTTGCTCCTCACTGCCGACTTGCTTCCCCCAGACGCCCCGCCACTACTGTTGGCCTTTTTCTTTCCCTTCATTTTTGCCGCCTTAGTCGTTGCAAGTTTTCGCCGCTTGCCCTCGCCGGTGTCGCCGCTGGATTTGCTGGGGTTTCCCTCCCCAGAGCTCGAGGCAGACGCGTTACTCCCCGCAGATGATTCGCCGTCTTCAAATCCGCCGCCGCCACCGCCGCCGCTGCTGCCGCTGCTGCTGCTGCCGCCGCCGCCGCCGCCGCCGCAGTCGAAGTTGTCGTCGTCGTAGTAGTAGTCCTCGTCGTCGTCGTCGCTGAGGCCTCCGCCACCCACCCCTTGAACGTCAGGGCCGTTGGAGGCCGTGAACGATACGTCCTCGTCCGGGTTTGCGGCCAGCGGTCCGTACAACAGCCACGTAAACCAGTACGGAGGGAGAAAGTTCTCGGGTAGCTCCTTGTTGAGGAGGTCGTCACGGTTCGGGATAGTCGGGATCGTGATCATCTCGGCTAATCTCGGGTTTTGCGTCTGGCGCTTCTTCTGCAGCGCCTCCCTCCGTTTTTTTTCGACCTCTTTGATCTTCCTGTTGGCAGCATCTTTGACCTGGTCCTCCCACACCTTTTCGATGACCTCCATCATCACGTCCCCGTTCTGTTCTCCAGATCTCGGCTGCCCCTGTTCGTTTGTCGCGCTGCACAAGTGTGTACAACCGACGACGAGGGCACAGGGGGGCGCTGCGTACAATGAGGAGGTGCCTCCAAACCTACCTCGCGAACAAAGACAGATGCAGCCGAGAACCCAGACCAAGATTTAACAAGGCGTATGTCGTCATTGAAAGGTAGCCAACAAAAAGAAATACACTTGAAGTACAACTAACACCATAGCGCGGTGCTGTCCCGTGCAATACACCAACCTCCCCGATTTTTGGACGAACAAAAACTCTAAAAAAAAACACCACAACGTCGACCGTGGCTCCTGAGCAATACGAGCATGCCCCCGGATTGTGAACTACACCACCAACGTCGCCCAAGGTTTTAATGGGCATTTCAACCAGGAACCGGTAACGCGAGATATAACCAATGTCGGGCACGTGTACCCTCAACTACAGTAGTGCGTGCGCCGACCCCGCTCGATCACGTCGCTCATTGTCTTCCTCGTCCAAAAAGACAGGTCGGGAACAAACAAAACCCTCGGATGTTTAACGTACCTGTTGTAGTGCACCGTGTAGTTCTTCAGTTCGCGCCGCTGCTCCTGACCCCGCATCCAACACTTGTTCAAGTTCGGATCAAAGAGGCTGTGCTTCGCTGCGTACGAAAACAGCGGGCAGACACAGAGACACAGGTGGCGAAGAGAGGCAGATGTGAGGAGTGAAGAGGGACATCAAGGGAAGAGGGAGGATTGAAACGCATGTGCTACACTTTCCGTATCTGACGGCAGTTTTCCCGTGGAGGCTTGTTTCTTGACGCTACCGGCACACGCACGGCGTCACCTCAGGTGGCCACCTACAGCAGTACGTACATACCGATGGCTCCAGACCGTTCGCGCCGGCGACGGCGGCGGTGGCGACGGCGACATACATACACACAAAGAGGGAGCTCTCAAAAAGCGTGTTGGCCATGCCGTTTACGATGGCAGGTTTCCCCGCGGAGGTTTGGTTCTTGGTGCTACCGGCACACGCACGGCGTCACCTCAGGTGGCCGTCTACAGCAGTACGAACAGGTGGTTTCCAGACCGCCGCCGCCACCGTCGCCGCGGCCGCCGACAAACGCAACAAAAATATACCTGGTTTGTATATTTTTCATGTCACCCATGCGTATCTGATGCCAATTTTTCTGCGCGGATGCTTGTTTCTTGACGCTACCGCACACATACGGCGTCATCTCACGCGG